CTTTTCTTTTCAAAACAGTCACGATGATCCCTATCGAAAATAATAAATATCGTGTTCACAGTAACCTCTATTGACACAATTTGACGAGCATCAACACAAGACGCTGCCAACCTTCGATTTAATATTTTAAATTACCGTGTCTTTGGCCTGAATTTGGTTTTGTTTACAGCACCGACATTGTTGTTATTCGCAGCACCTCTCCAGCAAGCATAATTATATCGTGAAATCAATAGAGCACCGTAGAAACAAGGTAGTTTCGTGGGTTGGTGTAACGACGTTTCCAACTAATCCCAGTTCCGGCTGCTTAACGCATGGAAATTAATAATGAGGCAGAATGGAAATCGTGGAGCGATAAGCCCTGGATCTACATAACTCGACTCGCGGATAATACAGCGACGCACCGGCGCTGGCGCGAATTGAACGAACGATCGAGAAGCAAACATAGAACCGGTTCATTTAATCCGGGACGAACGGGACCGCCTAACTGGAAAATTTCTGCGTTTGGCGCGTTGTGGAATCGTAGGGTAACTAATTGCCAGGAGCATCCGTATTATTTGAGGAATACACGTTCCAGTTGCAGTTCCATTTAAATCTGATCACGTAATTCTGATTCAAATTAAAATTCACCACTGCAATTCTTAATGACTGTCTTACGTTTCTTGAAAAAGCCCTTTAGACTTTAATTATGTCGAAGACAATATACGGTACTTGATAAGATTAATATAAGTCAAAGTTAACGAAGTGGTTAAAAATAATATGGTTGGCAGAATGAGTAACTGGCGTTTTCCTTCAAGTTTTCGTATATTTGTGACAGATGCACGTAGATATTTTTTTTTATTAGCGTTTAATCCATTCAATGCCAGGCAAATTTAAAGCGTTTTGCCTCGGGCTCCAAGATTTAATATGAACCTTGAGTATTTCAATATAATTTAAAAGTATGTATACAAACAAATTGGCAAACATTACATTGAAGAAAACCATTCAATTTTAAAGAAGAAGCAATTAAGTTTCGTTAAAGAAAAAAAATGTTTAAAAATACATTGAACGTAGCCTAAAATAAAATTATTTAATTCTTTTTAAACTAGTCTTTCTAAAAATTTGGTACGTTCCTAATACCAGAAGTTCCGCACCATCATTTCTCAGTTTTAGGTCGCGCGCTAGAATCGAGCGGCTGCGAAAGTGCTAAAACGCCATTCGACGAACGAAACAGGAATATGAAGGCAGTTTTCCAACAGTTCTTGATTTACACACCGCTCATTCACAGGAGCTGAACGCCGGATTTCATCGCGCTTTATAAATCGCGACATTATTGGGTCAACAGATTCCGTTTCGACGCGCTCTTCCCGCCGTATAAAATACTCGCGTCGCAAATTACAGGAGCGAACAGATTCGCGAAAGGTGGCTGTTACCATTTATTCCCTTGTCGTTAGGGGAGCAAGAGGCGGCATTAGCCAAATAATAACCGTTCACAGGCCTATACTCGTCGCTTCCTTGAATCTTCACAGGCAGTTACAGTCGTATCGCGAGGCGAACACGAAGGGAAAAGGAATTTTCGTATTCCCGTCACGTCGCAGTTTGCTGTACGTATGTATACCTGCCGCATACCGTTCGATTTACTATGAAGCCAGTGTTGTCCCGCGGATATCGATAGTAACGGAAACGCAAGCCGGCCGATTTGTTCTGTTTATCGTGAATACGAGCCCTGTAACACGTGATATTTGAAGAATCTATTCGTAACTTGCGTAACATCCAGTGTTCTGAAACGAAACAGAAAATGTATACAACTTTGTGACTGTTGGCCATATAAATTGAAATCATAAAATAATTCAGGAAGGATATGAAATGATTGCAGGAAAGAAAACTGTGAAAAAATTATAAAAGAAATAATCTAGCGAGGAACTAATTTGTTCAGGTAATTTTAAAATTTGTAAGAAAATTATTTTTTTAAGGTAGGTATTTGTTATTGTAGCATAAATTAATACACGTGCCTTGTGGTGAAATAATTACAGCGAAACAAATAATAGCACAATTGGAGTTGATAGAAAGACAAAAGTGAGAATTACTCTCAGAGAATAGCGAGTGACAAAAAGGTCTGGATGGAATTTGCATTGGAATAAGGACACGACTGCAGAGCAAACACAGACACGATAGCTTGGTACCGTAACGCATCCCTGGGTTGACCTAATTTACCTTGCTGCAGCAGTTCTTGTACAAATATCAATATCCTTGTTTGCAACGCAGCCTTTCGCGAAAATTAATTCGATGTACTTTCGATGTACATCGGTAGCATTTGGTGAAATACTTGCTTCTCGCTATGGTTAGAAAGAAATAATGATAAATACTTCTTAAAACAAACATGGTAGGAGATGCTCATTGACTGCAGCCAGTTAACTCCACCAGTCACATAAAAATTGTAACATTACTGACGATTCTTTTTTGGCTATTCTTTCTATTAATTTTATACACCGTTAGATAAAAAGCTACATCTGTATTCATGCAGTCTACAATATTTATTTTAATTTATATTATAAAGGAAATCTTAAAAAACAATGTACATTATTTCGTCGCATTTCTCAACTTTTTATGGAGTTAATCGATTTGTGCAATGAACGGCTCAATTCACGATAAACACATCCAGGAACAAAGTAGACAAAAAATTAACCCTGAAAGAGATATCCACATTGTCACGTGTATGACATTCCCCTATTCTTGGAATTACTATCGTTTAAGTCGACGTAATTCGAGGTCCACTCTCCTCGATTAAAAGTTTCGATGGTGCCCGGTCTACCACCGTCTGACAATCGTTTTTTAAACGAACGAGTACCTGAGAAGCGTTCGTGAAATCTTGGAAATGTTTTCTTATTCGACAGACGTCTATTGGGGAATCGATCTGCAGACGTCTTGCCTCGGCTGAATTACGTTCACCTAGCTCATACATTAAGCGCGTGTCTACCATTTCCTGGTTCGAATACCTATTCATAGCTTCTAACATGTTACAGAAACGTCAAGTGCTCGGTAGCAAGAGAACCCAGAGAAACTAGAGTGACTTACACGACAGAGTGGTAAACAAGGATGAGAGATATCGAGTTATCGAGCATTCTGTACGAATAGTTTAGTAGGTTACCCGAGCACTAAAGTAGCCGTAACTTGGTAACAATATTGAATAGGAAAGTGGATGGGAGGGGGTAGGTTTATATGAACTTTTCCTACTGTTTGTGTGTCTCCAATTTGGTGCTGAAGTATGATACTTGGTCCTTTTAGTTTTGTTTAAATAATCCTAGTATATATTTTGTGGTTTATTTATTTAGGTATGTTATGCATATGGACATACAGTCAGTCCTATAAATATTCGTACCTATTACAGAAATTTGTCTAAATTAAATGATAGGTTTAATGTTTCCAAATAAATTTTTTATTGTGAGCGTATAAACGTGTAAAGTCTATTTGGCATTTAATAAAAATTACCATTTATATTTAAAGAATCATTATTTCATTATTGAGAGTGACCAAAGCCACCAAAAAAAAAATATGTTGATGAGAAAGAGTTAACGCGTAATGTCACTGAATCAAATAAATAAGCCCTCGAAGGTACAGTGACGGCTACAACGAGCCCTGTAAACGGGAAACACGACGTCCGTCGATGGCATTTGACGTTCAAGTATCATTCGAATCGATATTACTTGCATTCGAAAGTGAAACGTGGATATACTGGAGAATGGTCGCGAAACCCTGATCTCACGAACGTTTAAGCGGCAAATGGGCCGAGCTTAATAGCAGCTCGTTTCCATTGGGCGCTGGTACTCGGTTAAACGCGCGTAGTTTCGACAGGAAAGCTCGAAAGCACGGGTGCACGTAACGCGAGCTTCAGCCAGTTTGAATGCCGGAGATAACTAAACTGGGTAGCCCCGTCCGCGGACGAGTTCTGGGTTAAGGGAAACAGCGTTGGTTGCGGTATTCCCGAGGGATTGTTCAGCGAAAGGTTCCACCGCACTACATATTAGGGACCTGCATAATTCACGTTCGCGGAAAGGAAACAGGTCTGGGACTAATTAGCAGTTACACTTATCCTGCGTCGTCCGAGTTTTCCAGATTTTTCGGAACGGAATGACTGAAATTATGTTTGGAAGAGGTATCAAAGATTGCGATGCTGTCCAAATTCTCTTTGGAGATCATTTGTTATTGTCGTGTCACGAGAATATAAATGAATTGGTCACAATGACGTATACAATGAGTTTTCCAAAATAGGTTCTAAGATTTTGTTTTATAATAAAACATAAACGACATGAATATTTATGGGATTGCATGTATTAAAATTTAATAATATTCTTCATTTTTATAACATTAGTATTATACAAAATTTATTCTAAGCGTTATATGAATTATATTTATAGTATAATATTTCATAATTCGCATAATAATGGGAGCATACAATGGGATCGTACTATTTCAGTAATAAATAAGAAAGTGTTACTTGCCATAAAAAGGAGACAATTAATATCGGTCGATAAACATCATAAAATAAATGTAAAAATGTAGTAATCAGTATATAATAACAAAATCAAGCCAGTAAAACTGAATCAGAAGTTTTACCACACTTCATTATCAAGAAAATCAATCTTAAAAACACCTGTTCCTGCTTCGTGCATCCTGTACAATCCAAACGAACCTACCAATCTCTGAAAAAAATCGCATTAGGGAAAGCCAATAACGCAAAACGATTATAACAACTGAAAATTACGTTCGCAACGTCTCTCGCGATGATTTATCGCTCCGGCAATCCGGAGTGCACAATAGGGAATTCTCGTATCTCGTTTCAGCGAAACGACTTTCTTAATCGCGTCGGGACGTTCGTTTCGTCTGTCCTTGGATGGCGAAGGTGTTTCACGGAAACTTTATAACGTCGTCAGACGCTTATCGCGAGGCGTCGTTCGCGTCGCCCCGATCAAAGTCTTGGAACGCCTCGAATGGGTAGCTACCGTTCGCGACGTCGGTTGACAACTGTTCACCAGTTGCGGCAGACAGTGCCAGGCCTCGACGTCACCCGAACACACGAAAGGCGGCGACGTTTACGCGTGGTGTTGACACACTTTTGTGAACTCCGTAACACCTTGACGGTCGCGGCGCGGCCTGATCGATCCGTTCGCGGCCCATTGTGGAAACTTGGTCGACGGGATTTTACGGGTTTTATCAGTGGGAAATTTCGTCCTCGCGTCGACCGAGTTAAACGCTGCGGTGTACGCGACATGGAAGACTGCTCGATTGTCAGAATTTCCAGCACGAGGTACGTTCAACCTATCCGCGGGTCCGCGAGGTATTTCGGGAGATCGACGTTTCCTAAGTGGATGGGTTGACAGGTCTTGGTTCTGCATGGTGTTTGCGATTGTTTAGGATTGGTTGAGTGGCTTTGTTTATGGTGTGGGCGGGACTTCTGTATCGTTTTTTGGATTCAGAGTTTCTTTGCGCATTTTCGAGGGTAATAAACGTAATTCTAGACAGAGTGGACAGGTGACGTTTATCTCAGTTGAGATACGTGGATTAACTAGTAGGGCCCTTAAGATCGTCTCCGTCTTCTATTTCATGATCTTTCATGACTGAATGAGTGAATAGTATTACAACTCTGCATAATTAAAAAAACACCCTTTTACAAGATATAAAATTATTAAAATTAGCTATGATTATGTAGTTACTTTTTTCGACGAGAAAAATATTTTTCTTTCTTTATTTTAAATAAAAATCTATGCAGATGTTCATGCTCCTGCAAAAATTCTTCTCAGGAAACCGCTTAAGGGATGTAAATCTTCACCAGGTTGTAAAAGGTTTACTTTTATCAATTTTCAAGTAACGCTTACAAAAATAACGCGCAACTGCACGAAGTTTAAAGCATACATAGTGATTTTTCAAAGGGAAGAATTTTCTACCTCTAAATAAAAATTCGGAGAATTCTTTATCGTTCGCCCAGGGCAAATGTAGCCTCTTAGAGTCTTGGCGGAGCTTCTCCAAGCGATACGCTTTGAGATCCCTTCCTCGAGAAATTTCTTTGAGGCGAACCGATTCGACACTGGATTCGAGAGAGACAATTCTGCGCGAGGCTCTCCTGTGTCGAAGCATTTCAAACAATTTCTAGAAAACTTTCACTCTGTCCGCCCTGTGAGCCTTTTTCGTCGTCGTTTGTTTATTTAACGAAAATTCGTGTCAAGTGAAAATATACAGAAGCTTGAATCAAGTATACAAAGCTCCTTCTATTTGTATTCAACGAAAATTTTGCAATAGCGAAGTAGTCTCGCATATTTGTTCAATATAAATGAAAAAACTTTTAAAAACTATTGTTTGTAAACATCTAGGAAACATCTGGTTTGTAAACATTTTATTGTAAAAAGAAATATAAAAGCACCATAATTATTATTAGGTAGCATAGTTATTATGAGTGTGTGTTTTGAGAATGTTTGACAGCGATAGGTTTGTAAGAGATTGGGTTCTATTATATTTGTGACTTAAAATTTGGAAAATGTACAAGTACAGGATATTGGTAAATAATTTATTATCTTTTTACTGTTGTAGTACACTCCGAAAGGGGTAAAATCAACCCTCAGGAACCCAGTCACATTTCATATCTAATGACGTAGATTTGGCAGCAACAGGTGCAGGAATCCTTGATGAACTGAATTCTTGAATTAATCAAGAATTTACGTTTTAGCACTTATATGAGTTCTCTTCGGTAAATTTTCTCTCTTTATTAGAAATAAATCCAAAAAAATTCAATAAATTAATCCTATCGATGAACTTTGTATGATTTTCGAGAATCTATCAAATTATTTGCAGAGAAAAAAATATTCAAGTAGATGATAAATAGCTGGAGAGAATATATATCAGCCTTTCACAACACTTTCAATACACGTCAAGCTTGATACCTCTATCAGGCTAATTCTGATCGCTAAGTTGTAGAAAGTATGATATCATATTCTACATAACACCGTGGCATATCTAAGATTCGCGACCAATGCCCATGAAAATTAAATAAATGTTTCCACGAGTGGTTTCCGTTTCTAAATCAATGCAGCAGAAGCGCGTAATTCGTCGTATCGGAAGTTCCGCTTCCAGATACTTATACCTCCCTATCTGGATTCAAGGGAACTAGTTGGATATTCATTGAAATTGATTTTGCGGCATAGACGGTCGCGATATTGCGATTCGCGTTATCTGCGGAAGGCAAGCGTGATATCATTGGTCGAATATCGCGTGACCTCCGAAAATCGTATTAATTAAACTCGTGGTCTAGGAATAGAATCTTAATCAGCGATCATAATGGTAATATGATACACAATACATATTTTGTCCAGTCCACGAATCATTCATGAAAATTTGAAAGTAGAACAATATTTGGGATTTAGATGTGTGGGATTTTTGTATGTGTGTGACTATTGCTGGTGTAATGAAGCACTTGTTTCTGAGAAGTATTTTACTTTTATTATTTCATGTTAAAAGACGGCCACGAACGATAAAATAATTATTAAGAGCACTGATTATAAAAAGAAGACTTCTATTTTGAGGAAGCAGTGCTCTCGAATATTTTTCAAGTAGATTGTTTATTCTTCAGTGTCTCTAATAATTTCATTAACGACTGTAGTTATGGAATTAACAATTATTCAAATTCAACGGCTTCTTCTATTTCTTCCAATTTTTTTTTAGTAATTTTTTATTCCAGAAATCAAGATCTTTTTAATTGTTAATGTTGAATTTTGTTAAACCTTGCATATCAACTATACTGATTGTAATACATTCGAATGAAAAACATAAAATGCACCTAATATAAAAATAATAGCAGCGTTCTCAAGCATTGCCTGTTAAAAATTTGTCAAAAAGATACACGTACACCATTATCACAGTAAATCGTCTGTTTATGTTCAGCACAAGTTCTAAACGCTTCAAGTCTCTTCATTTCACTTCTCTCGGTGGTCCGATTCTATTCAATCCGGGAGCCGAATAAAATTCAATTACACTACCAAACGGTGTCCCTATCTCCATCGGAATCGAATATCGGTTGGTCGAATGACAAGCTATAAACATCGACGTTCCTGTTAATGAACAACCCCGAAACTTAAGGTCCTATATCGGCTCTAGCAGGACAAGCGTAAACGAGCAGGGAGGATTGTATCGATCCGTTGTAATTCTTGAGAGAGCGCGAGCTTTGAAATTTGTGCGGTGGCCCGCGGGAATGCGGATCTATTTGGATCGCTAATTTCGGCAGTTAATTTTAGAGAGGCTAACCATAGTAATGGAGTTTGCGGTGTGGACCAAGCTTCTCATCCGTTATCGATAACGTCGATGCCCTGAACTCCGTGTACCGAATGTCAGAGGGAATTGGACGTGTACCGAACACGTTCGAAATTCCTACGGAAAGTTCACGGGGGCGGGGAAAGATGGGGGTGGTGGGGACTGTTTGGCATTCCAAGCTCGAACAATCGGCTACTTCCGGCTTCTCGGTCGTGGGCTACCGTTTCTGAACGTTCCCGCACCCGAGAACACGCGCCTCTGAATAATTCGATGCCATTTGCCCAGTTTATGCGCTAAACATCGCGTGGGTGGTAATTCGTATAGGAGGATTCACAATGTAAATAGAAATTGTGGAAATTAATGATAGATTCTTATTATCGATGGTTTATAGTTGTTTACGTGGGGTACGGATGCGGGGAATGACTGCAGTAGGATGTTTGTGTGCGATGAAAGGTAAACGTGACCAAAACGGATTATCTTGTTCTTTGTGTGATGGTAATTTAGCAATTGTGTTGGTTTCTAATAGATTTTAACCCTTTGCACTCTGCACCATCTCGTTCCAAAATGTGCGAGCAGGAATCGCGTTATATGAAATAGTCTAACTTTGGAAACGTGTCTTTTAAACGACATCCAATTCTAGATATAGAATATATCATCCACTTTTAGAGTTTCTGAAAATTCAAATGCATATAATTGATAAACATATTTATTACAAGAAATTTATTGGGTAGTTAAAACACTTTTCCAGAAATAAATTAAATGTATTATTCATACTTCATCTTATGTAATAACGAGAAATAAAGTACAGGATTTCGTTATTATAGATTGATCATGAATTATGTATTTAATTTATTCCAGAAGAGAATTTGAAGTAAGGTCGAAACTCAGGATGAATAACAAATTTTGTAGTCAGGGCATGAATGTTTGCTAAGTAAATTGAATTTGTCTTGCAACCAAAATGGAAAACCATTATTCTTAAATATATTACACGTAGTCGATGCAATATTTGCTGTAACTTGGTTATTAATCAATTAAGCACTCGAACGTTTAGTGGAAACGTTTTATCTTATCTTGAGACAATATAAAAGTTATAACCGGTTCATGTTAATCACCTGATAAAAAAGAGAACCGGTTTTATGTGCCAAAATAAGTTTTTAATCGCGCTTCGTAAATAAGACACCAGTTAATGCGTAATAATTCTCATTTCTAAAAGATATGAAAGACACTTATTGGAAAATGATAGATAATTAAACAGAAACTTTGACATTTAAAATTGCAAGGAAAATGACAGAAAAAGAGCGACACGTTCCTCGTACTATAATTTCCGTTAATGTCATAAATGAACCTTTTTAATCCACGTCCCGGAGCTTCATTTATAACTACTAATTACGAAGTTCAGACATAATTAAGCTCACTCAGATCCGTCTGAAATGAAAATATGTCTATTTTAATTTGGGAAAGAATTAAAGAAACTGAATACTGGAATCTCTTGGAAACTGAAAAAGTAATTACTATCAAAATTCGCCATACTCCAATTATTTTCAAGATGATAACATAGTTTCGTGTTCCGTTACAAATTCATTATTGCGATGGCATAATAATACACGACCAAACAGACTAAATTGAAATTTTTGCAGCAACTTCTTTCGCTATAGTGGATCTGGAGAGTTGCGATAATGAGCTTTTTGTTGGCGCACGGTGCTCCGCCAACGCGATGTCGAAAACGATCACGATAGGTCGCAAAACGTTACGTCGGCGTCGCGAATAACAATCGAGACAAATACGCGACACGACCCCCTTTCGGTATTGTCGATGATGGCTTCAGAAATACATAGAACGATGTTATTGAACGATATAAAACTGTTTTGACGAGGGAAATTAGTCGTATCGGGTAAAGAATAGATAAAACTCGGGAAACCATACGGGTTCGGTGAACCTGTTTGAAAACGGGGTCTAATAAATAAATCTTCAGGTTTTAATTCTTTTCATGGCACTTTTATTGAATACGCA